TGAATACCAGGTCTAGCAAATAGAAAACTAATTCTAGATTACTTACTGATTTAGAAGCAAACCCCTAAATACAGTGGGAAAATAAAAGGTTATCAAATTAATTATATATACATATATTTTTAATATAAGCATATAAAATGACAATTTATGTATGTTAATATATTATATAGCTAAATTAAGACAAATTTCTATAATTTGACTCAACTGGGAGGCCAAAATTCATATACTAAAGGATTTCTATAACAAAAAGCTTTTAAAAAAGAGACTGGTTGGCTCTTGTACCTCAATGGCATAGATTTGAACCTAACTTTAATAATTACTAAAAATGCACCAATTAACAAAACTTCACAAACTAAATCAACACTGGGGCTTAAATAACAATTATATCTGGGGATCCCACTAAGTTTAAACACTATAATCTTAAGAAAGCACCTAAATATAAAATAGAATTTAAAAAATATGCCTTATTTTAACTGGTAACCTTTCACAAATTTCTCATAGACATGGTATCCATTGCCTAAAATAATTCCTTATTGAGCATAAACACTCTAACATCATACATAGTAAATTAAAATTAGCAAGTCTTTAACACTTGAAAATTGGCTTGATAAAATAAGACTCCATTAACCAACAGTTGAAATAGTTAACATGACACAATGTAAATTAAAACAGGGCCTCAAGGATTAAAATTGACTATATAAACACTAATCAATAAAGGGGAGATTCTCCCCACTGCTTCTCCACTTGGCAGGCTAATTTTGCCTGTTCTTAAATCTAAAAACAATGAATGAAAAGACTTCATGATGGATTACTACAGTCTTAATGCTATAGTTCCATCCCCCAAGGCTCCCATATGCAATATCCGATATTATTGAAATTACCGATTTTGGCCAGTTGTAGTGACTCACACGTATAATCCCAGTGCTTGGGAGGACAAGGAAGATTGTTTGATGCCAGGAGTTCGAGACCAGCCTGGGAAACATAGCAAGACTCTATTTCCCACCCACCCCCTTACCCTATACACTAGCCAGGTGTGATAATACAACTCCTCAGGAGATTGAGGCAAGAGGGTGGTTTGAATCCAAGAGCTCAAGGCTGTGGTAAGCTATGATGACACTGAACTCTAGCCTGGGTGACAAAGGGATACCCCGTCTTAAAACAAAATTACAGATTCTATTCAATCAGTAACCAGTAAATATTTGCTCTTCTTGATTGCCTAACATGCTCTGTTCAGTGTATATTTCGGCAACCTCTCAGCCAAAGTTTGTGTCAACCTCTGAAGGTCTGCAGGGTCACAATAAACCTCTTCCTTATGTGGGATACTCACAATGTCGCCACAATTTCATTTATTTATTTATTATACTTTAGTTCCAGGTACATGTGCAGATTGTGCAGGTTTGTTACAAGCCATGGTAGTGGTTTGCTGCATCCATCGCCCCATAATCCACATTAGGTATTTTTCCTAAAGCTATCCCTCCCCAATCCCCCCACCCCCTGCTATTCCTCCCTAGCCCCCCACTCCCAGGCCACAGTGCATGATGTTCCCTTCCCTGTGTCTGTGTGTTCTCATTGTTCAACATGCACTTATGAGAGAGAACATGTGGTGTTTGATTTTCTGTTCTTGTCAGTTTGCTGAGAATGATGGTTTCCAGCTTCATCCATGTTCCTGCAAAGGACATGAACTCATCTTTTTTTATGGCTGCATAGTATTCCATGTTGTATATGTGTCACATTTTCTTTATCCAGTCTATCATTGCTGGGCATTTGGGTTGGTTTCAAGTCTTTACTATTGTGAACAGTGCTGCAGTATAAAACTTTGTCATCACACACAGTCTTTACAGGCAAGATCTTGAAGATATTCATCTTTCTCCAGGAACATATGTATGACATTGCTTTGAGGAAATCCTCCTCCAAGGAGAATCATTTGACACACTCATTAAGAATACAGAAGTCTGGTATTTCTTAATATACTGGGGTTTCTAGTTCCAACATATCCTCATTTACAAAAATTTATTTACAAATTAAAATCAACAGGCACTCCTGTGCCTCAGAAACTTCTTTACTGTAGAGTCACTGGCAAGTTCTTTTTATGTCTCATGGAGTATCTAAACCATTTTTGGGGTGGTCATCAATTTCTCTGGGGCTTCTGATAAAACAAAACAAAACAAAACAAAAATCACAAAACTGTCCCTCTTGGCTTCATGTCACATACCATAAAAACAATAAATGACTATCTGGTTGGCTTTCCTGGAAATAGAAGACCTCACAGATCCTGATCCTGTGGACCTTTGTACACAGCTCCCATTATCTGGGTACTGAAAACAGTACCCCACAAGTTTGGCATGGCTACTGAGGCCTCCCTAAGACAGAAGCCAAGTCTGGCCCCTCTGGTATATTCCACTTGCAGGAGGAGGTGGCCTCCTCTGTCCCTAGTCCTTTGCCAGGTGCCAGCATATGGGAGGAGTTCACCCCTTCCCCAGGCCTTTTGACTGTCTGGAAATGTTCATGGGGTGAATTGAGTAAATAGTAATGGGAGTTTGTAGACTGTGCAAACAGCACTGCAACCATCTTACATCATGGAGCTTAGTGCAATGTGACCAATTTCCCAGGATGTCCCTAATAAATAATGGGGCCTAAAAAAAAAAGACGCATGGCCAAACACTTGGCAGTTGTTTTAGCATCAGGTGCCCTGGTCAACAAATGATCTGATTTTCACATTAATTATTAACTATGTGGCCATTACCTAAAAATGATCTCCTTAAAGATAAAAAAATAAAAAAGACTCTGGGAATCTCTTGTCTCACAGATGCTCAAAATATAAATCAAAATCACACATGTCTCTGTATACTAAGGCCAGACAAAATAAAAAGGCCTTTGTAGGACAGTCCTTGTTGCCTTCAATTTTGCGTATATTACTGGTAGTAAGTAAGACACACATTTCACTTTTTAAAATTATGCTTTAAGTTCTGGGATACATGTGCAGAACATGCAGGTTTGTTACATAGGTAAACACATGTCATGGTGGTTTGCTGTACCAATCAACCCGTCATCTACATTAGATATTTCTTCTAACGCTATCCCTCTTCTATTCCCCCACCCCTCAACAGGCCCTGGTGTGTGATGTTCCCCTCCCTGTGTCCATGTGTTCTCATTATTTTTCACTTCTTAAAATACACAATTCTGGGCTCTTAAAAGAGACATTAAATAGAATGTTCTTTTACTTGAAAGGTCCCTGAAAACCAGTTTACCTGAGAGACATAATGGTCTACTCAAACAACTCCTTTTCAAATTCTTGTCCTATAATGAAACTAAGTCAATTTCTCTTTTCCTAAAGATCATATCTTTACAAATGTTTTGTCTTGTTTTCATCCTACAAAGGCTAAAGGTTGGAGCAATGGCTCATTAGCCATAGATCACCCCACAGCCAGGTAGTTGCTCATCTGAAATATGACCCATTTAAAACTAAGCTTATTCCAAAAAACAAAAGCCCTGTCATGTGCAGCTGCATGCCATTCTGTTGACTGTTGGTTTTGTAGTGCTGGTTTGGGCACTCTCACCAGTTTGCAATTTGGAGATCCACATTAACTTGAGTAGTTACTCATTTTAAAATGTATCCAAATCCCACATCCCAGATGACATCATCCCAACCCAAGGACTCACTGTGGCAGGTAATTTGCTGCCTCTGCTAGAGACTACTTCCCTTTTACACTAAAATCTCCACCCAACCATGCCCATGGAGTACCTCTCCTAAGGCACAAAATGAACAGAGGACTTTTTTGCTATTCTTTCAGGACTTACTTTCTGCTTAGCCATCAATCCTAAAATACTCCTTGCTTTCTGCTAAAATGCACAATTGTTCAATCCTTGAACTAGGGATATCTTTTTATTTATTTAGGCCTTTTAAAATTTCTCTTAGCAAGAAAGAAGATCACAAGCAGAAGAAAGGTGAGCACAGTATAATAATATATTTTGAGAGACAGAAAATTACATTTATATAACTTTTATTATAATATATTATAATTATTTTTTATTAGTTATTGTCTTTAATCTCTTAATGTGCTTGGTTTATAAATTAAATTTTATCATGGGTATGTGTAGGAGAAAACATAGCATATACAGGATTTGGTACTAACCACAGTTTCAGACACCCACTGGGGATCTTGGAACACATCCCTTGTATCTAAGAGGAGACTACTATGTAGTACACAGCTCTTTCTAGGGAAAGCTTACTCACTCATTTTTCCACATGTTGGGTGGAGTCAGGCAGAGATAGATTCCTGGTTTCTGGAAGGAGGAAAATAAGATTAGAAAGAAAGAAGAAGATTCCATATATGGTCTTGGTCAAAGGGAGCAAAATACACCATTGCACCATTAGTGTTATTAACAGAAGAGCCAGGGCTTCCCCGCTACTATCAGATGGTAAATTGATTCCTTCAACTGTTGTGTTTTTGGGATGCAAACAATATACAAGATATAGTCAAAACCCACACATGTAATTTGTGTGTTTTAAATTTATTTTTTGTTTTGTTTTTTTTTACTTAGAAACAGAAAAAGACTGTATGTTCTCACTTATAACTGGGCTAAACAATGGGTACACCTGGAAATACAGAAGGGAATAATAGACATTGGAGAGTCCAAAGAATGGGAAGATAGGTAGGTGTGATTAATGAAATACTACATTGGGGATAATGTACACTATTCAGGTGAGAGATATGCTAAAAGCCCAGGCTTCATGACTGTGTAATATATCAATGTAAAACAGCTGCACTTGTACCCCAAATTCATAAAAAATTCAATTTATTTTAAAAATTTTAAAACTCACAAATTACATGTGTGAGTTTTTTGATTATGGGAAACAACACAGCAAAGTGATTACATACATGGGAATTGTCAGCACACCCTTGGGTTGAGATTTCCTTTAACAAGTACTTGCTATTTTTGTCATGTCCACAACTGTTTTAAACTCACTTTATTCAATTTAAAAACACTGTCACCCATGCTCACTTTGGCACTGCATATAATAAAATTGGAATGATACAGAGAAGATTAGCATGGCCCCTCTGCAAAGATGACATGCAAATTTGTAAAACATTTCATAGCTTTATGAATTATTGGCATTCCTAAGAGCAGGAGAAAAAGTAAACAACCTGGAAAACATATTTGAGGGATTAATACAAGAAATTTTTTCTAATATTGATACAGAGGTACAACTAGGATCAAAAACCTCACAAACCGATATTGTCCTTGAATGTAAACAGTCTAAACTATCCACTTAAAAAGTACAGAGTAGTAAGTTGGATAAAAATGCAAGACCCATCTGGTCTGCTGTCTTCAAGAGATCTATCTCACATATAATTACATCCACAGGCTCAAAGCAATGGGTTGGAGAAAAATCTATCATGAAAATGTGAAATGAAAAACAGCAGGGTCACTATTATTCTGTCAGATAAAACAGACTCTAAGCCGACAAGAGTAAAAATGGGAAAAGAAGGACATTACATAATAATAGAGAGCTCAATTGAAAAGAAGTCTTAACTATCCTAAACCTATATGCACTCAACATTGGAGGACACAGATTTGTAAAACAGATACTTCTTGACAAACAAAAAGACTTAAATAGACACACAATAATAGTGGGGGACTTCAACATTCCACTGACAGCATTAGACAGATCATCAAGGTAGAAAATTAACAAAGAAATTCTGGACTTAAATTTGACACTTGGCTAATTGGATGTAACACACATCTACAAAGTATTGTATCCACTAACCACAGAATATACATTTTTCTCATCTACACATGAAACATATTCTAAGATCAACAACTTTCTGAGCCACAAGGAAAGCCTCAATAAATTAAAAAGAAAATCAAAATTATACCAACCATAATCTTGGGCCTCAGTAAAATAAAAATAGAAATCAATACCAAGATGTCTTACAACCACACAATTACACTGGGTAAGCTATGAAATTAAGAACACAAAAAAATTGATATTAGTGAAAACAGACAATCATGACAAAATCTTTAGTCTGCGGGAAAAGAAGTATTAAGAAGAAAGTTTGTAGTACTAAATGCCTACATCAGAAAGTTGAAAAGACCTAAAATTAATCATGTAACATTACAGCAAGAAGAAGTAGAAAAGGAAGAACAAACTAACTGCAAAGGTAGCAGAAGAAAAGACATAACTATCTTCCACAAGGGTTGAATTAATTTACATTCCCACCAACAGCATAAAATCATTCCTATTTCTCCACGTCTTCTCCTGCATCTGTTGTCTCCTGATTTTTTTAATATTGCCATTTTAACTGGCATGAGGTAGTATCTCAATATGGTTTTGATTTGCATTTCTCTAATGACCAGTGATGATGAGCATTTTTTCATATGGTTGTTGGCTGCATGAATGTCCTCTTTTGAATAATGTCTGTTCATGTCCTTTGCCTACTTTTTGATGTTTTTTTCTTATAAATTTGTTTAAGTTCTCCATAGATTCTGGATATTAGCCTGGAGATCTAACTCCATAGATTCTGGATATTCTGGATATTTTCAGATGAGTAGATGGCAAAATTTTTTCCCATTCTGTTGGTTGCTGGTTAACTCTATTGATAGTTTCTTTTGCTGTGCAGAAGCTCTTAAGTTTAATTAGATCCCACTTGTCTATTTTGGCTTTTGTTGCCATTGTTTTTGGTGTTTTAGTCAGGAAGTCCTTGCCCAGGCCTATGTCCTGGATGGTATTGCCTAGATTTTCTTCCAGAGTTTTTATGGTGCTAGGCCTCATGTTTAAATCTTTAATCCATCTAGAGTTAATTTTTGTATAAGGTGTAAGGAAGGGATCCAGTTGCAGCTGTTTGCATATGGCTAGCCAGTTTTCCCAACACAAAGTATAATAAATAAATAAATAAAAGACATAATTAAAATCAGAGTATACTGGAATAAAATTGAGACATAAAAGTCCATTCAAAGGGTGAATGAAGCCAAAAGATGGTTCTTTGAAAGAATAAACAAGATTGATAGACCACTAGCTAGATTAACAAAGAAAAAAGAAGTTTCAAATAAGCACAACCAGAAATGACACCGGAGATATTATAACTGATCCCACAGAAATATAAAAGATCCTCAGAGAATATTATGAACAACTGTATACACACAAACTAGAAAATTTAGAGAAAATTAATGAATTCCTATTGTCTGTGAAGAAAGGTAATTTTACTTCCTCTCTTCCTATTCAGATTTATTATATTTTATTTTTCTTGCCTGATTGCTCTAGCTAAGTCTTCCAGTACTATGTTGAATATGAGTGGTGAGTGCTGGCATTCTGCCCATTCAGTATGGTATTGGCTGTGCGTTTGTCATAGACAGTTCTTGTTATTTTGAAGTATGTTCCTCTAATGCCTAGTTTGTTGAGTGTTTTTTAACATGAAGGGATGTTGAATTTTATTGAATGTGCAGGTTTGTTACATAGGTATACACATGCCATGGTAGTTTGCTGCATCTATCCCCTTGTCATCTACATTAGATATTTCTCTTAATGCTATCCCTCCCCACCCCTCCTACCCCCTGCTATCTCTTCCCTAGTCCCCCATCCCCCAACATGCCCCAGTATGTGATGTTTCCTTCCTTGTGTCATGTGTTCTCATTGTTCAACACCCACTTATAAGTGAGAATATATGGTGTTTGATTTTTTGTTCTTGTGTCAGCAGAGGGTTGGGGGATTTGGGAGGGATAACAGTAGGAGAAATACCTAATGTAGATGATGGAGGATAGATGCAGCAAACCACCATGGCACGTGTATACCTATGTAACAAACCTGTATGTTCTGCACTTGTACCCCAGAACTTAAAGTATATATATAAAAAAAGAAATCAGTAAAAAGATCTTTCAAAGCCACACAATTACATGGAAATTAAATTCCTGAATGACTCTGGGCAAACAACAAAATGAAAGCAGAAATCAAAAAATTATTTAAAATAAATGAAAACAGAGACAGAGCACACTAAAATATCTGCAAAAGCAGTGTTAAGAGGAAAGTTTGCAACAGTAAACACTGAAAAAGTTAGAAAGATATAAAATTAACAATCTAACCTCACACCTAGAGGAACTAGAAAAACAAGAACAAAAAAATCCCAATGCTAGCAGAAGAAAAGAAATAACTAACAACAGAGAACTGAATAAAACTGAGATCCAAAAATCCATACAAAGGATCAACAAACTAAAAATTGGTTTTTTGAAAGTATGAACAAGACTCATAAACTACTAGATACACTAATAAAGAATAAAAGAGAAGATTCAAATAAGCACAATCATAAATGACAGCAGTGACATTACCACTGATCTTACAGAAACACAAAAGATTCCAGAGAGTGTTATGAATACCTCTAAGCACACAAACTAGAAAATCTAGAAAAACTTGGTAAATTCCTAAAAACACACAACCTTCACAGATTATATCAGGAAGAAACTGAAGCCCTGAATAGCCTATCATACATTTCTGAAATTGAATTATTAATTAAAAACATATTTGATCATGGTGGATGAGCTTTTTGATAAGAGATAGCATGGGGAGAAATGACAGATACAGGCAAGGGGACGGAAGGCAGAAAACCACACTGCCATGTGTGTACCTATGCAACAATCTTGCATGTTCTTCACATGTACTCCAAAACCTAAATTGCAATAAAAAAATAATAAAATAATAAAAATAAAAATAATAATAAAAAAATATCACCCCAAAAAGCTCTGAACCACGCTGGATTCACAGCTGAATTTTGTCAGACACTGAAGAGCTACTACCAATTCTACTGACACTATTCCAAAATATTGGGGAGGGGCTCCTAACTCATTCTATGAAGCCAGTATCACCACAAAGATATTACTCAAGAATAGAAACCCCAAGACACATAATTATCAGATTCACTAAGATTGAAATGAAGGAAATAATGTTAAGAACAGCCAGAAAGGTCGGGTCACCCACAAAAGGAAGCCCATCAGACTCACAGACGATCTCTCTGCAGAAACCCTACAAGTCCAAAGAGTGTGGTGGCCAATATTCAACATTCTTAAAGAAAAGAATTTTCAACCCAGAATTTCATATCCAGCCAAACTAAGATATATAAGTGAAGGAGAAATAAAATCCTTTCCAGACAAGCAAATGCTGAGGGATTTTGTCACCACCAGGCCTGCCTCACAAGAGCTCCTGAAAGATGCACTAAATATGGAAAGGAAAAACCAGTACCAGCCACTGCAAAAACAACCCAAAATGTAAAGACCATAGATATGATGAAGAAACTGCATCAACTAATGGGCAAAATAACCAGCTATCATCATGGTGACAGGATCAAATTCACACATAATATTTACGTTAAATGTAAATGGACTAAATGTCCCAATTAAAAGGCACAGACTAGCAAATTGGATAAAGAGTCAAGACCCATCGGTGTGCTGTATTCAGGAGATCCATCTTACATGCAAAGACACACATAAGGCTAAAAACAAAGGGATGGAGGAGATTTACCAAGAAAATGGAAAGAAAAAAAAAACGGGGTTGCAATCCTAGTCTCTGATATGACACACTTTAAACCAATGAAGATCAAAAAAGATGAAGAAGGACATTACATAACAGTAAAAAGATCAATGCAACAAGAAGAGCTAACTATCCTAAATATATATGAACCCAATATAAGAGCATGCAGATTCATAAAACAAGTTCTTAGAGCCCTACAAAGAGATTTAGATTTCCACAGAATAATAGCTTGAGACTTTAGCACCCCACTGTCAGTATTAGATCAACAAGACAGAAAATTAACAAGGATATTCAAGACTTGAACTCAGCTCTGGACCAGGTGAACCTAATAGACATCTGCAGAACTCTTCACCCCAAATCCACAGAATATGCTGTCCCCTGGTGGAGGAGGTGTGCCTTGTTGGTGGGAGTGGGAAATGAACTCATCTAGGCTGCCCAGATTCCTCAGAGCTAGCAGGAGAAGACTAAGTCTGCTGGTCTATGGAGACTACAACCACCCCCTCTCCCTAGGGACTCAGGCCCTGGGAGATTAGAGTACTGTCCCTGAGCCCCTGACTGGAGTTGGAGTTCCTGCAAGAAGTCCCTGCAGTTGCAGTGTTGGCTGCCACCTCTCCCCAAGAAGCTCAGCTGGATTAGACAGCAGGCAGCCACAGCAGTGGTGATGACCACTCTTCCCCCAGGAACTTGGCAGGCTTAGGCTGATTCTAGCCAAGTGGCTGTTGGGATTCTGCATGGCTCCTGGTTAGGACTCAAGGCCCTGGTGGTGTGGGCTCATGAGTCGAATTTTCCAATCCATGGGTTTCATAGTTTTGCGGAAAAAGTGGTTTCCCAGGCTCAATAGCACATTCACTCACTCACCACCTCCCTTGGCTGAGGGTGGGGGCTCCCCTACCCACTGTGGCTCTCAGGTAGGCCACTGCATCACACTGCTTCCTTCCTTTCCATGGATCATGCTGGCTACCTAATCAGTCCTGATGACAAAACCTGGATACCTTGGTTGCTGGTGCAGGATTGGCATGCTGTTTTGAGTCTTTCTGATGGGAGCCTCCAATCACCACTGCTTCGGCCATCTTGGCTCCATTTCCCCAGTCTGCTCTTCAACAGATAATTGTAAAAGGTCGTTAAAAGTTTATGAAAATATTATATTATTGTCAAGCTGATTAGAATTAGATATATTTATTTATAAGGGTTTATTAAAATTGGTTTTAACACTAATAATACACCACACAATAGTAAAATTTTGTTTTCTCTTTTTAAAACATTTTTATGTAATATTAATAAGAGATGGTTCTGCTGTGATTTATCTTTGGTGGAAGTAGGGAACTGGAGAGAGAAATACTGTATTTCAGAAGAAAACTTTAGTATTAGATTAACCTTTGATTCCTGAGTGGCCATGTGGTCACCCTTGGTATGAAGTTGTCCATGATGCCTCTCCTTACCATGAAGCAGCCAGAAAAATCAATAACCGGATTCCCCATGATTGAGAAACTGATAAATAAAAATGTGGGGGACTGAAGCTGGCCCAGTTGTCCCATAGAACTGATGTTTATCGTTTCTTTGAATAAACATAGAAATTTTCCCAGTCTGAAAACTGAGACAGTTACATTTGTTTTATCTGAGTTCCTTTCTTAGGAACCCAAGCATCAGGACTTACAGATACTACCAAGGAACTGAAACTCACCAGACCTTTGCATCTGTACAATGAGACACCAGAGCCTCACCCATCCTGATTGCCTAACAAGCCACCTGCTTTTTGTTGACCAACTTCTCTTCCTTACCCACCCTAATTCCTATTTTCCCACACATGGTGACATTTCCTTCCCTGCTATATAAACCCATAATTTTAGTCAGTCAGGAAGATAAATTTGAGACTGATCTCTCATCTTCTGTGGTGAAGCACTTGAATAAAGCCTTCTTCCCTGGCAATACTCATTGTTTCAATGATTGGTTTTTTGTGTAGTCTGCTGCAGAACCTAGACTAAATCCCTAGGTCATTTCAGTAATAATTAAACTATAATGAATGTCCATTTCAGTGTAATGACCACTTTGATGATCATTAACACTTTAAAATCTTTGCTGTTTAAAATCAAAGTTTACGTTTGGTTATGTGAGTTTGCCTGAAATTACTTTACTACTATAGTTGAACAGCCTTTCATTTATTAATTAGCCTTTTGCATCATTTGAAATATCATTTTTTATTTATAGTGATTTTATTAAATGTACATACAGTTTGAAAATTGCTGAACCTGACCTTTGCCCTTCAATTTGAACAATATCTTTATAATATTTTAAATTATACCTGCTGTTTGTTTAAAAAGAGAAAATTACAAAAAAATTAATTAAAATTCCACCATTGAAAAGTGGCTATTGTTATTTAGTGAATGTATTTACAAAGAGATAGTCAGTGCAATTTAGTACATAATCTTTTTATTTTCCAATGACTTATGTCAAAAGTATCATGCATTAAGTGCACATATATAGATCTCTATTTCTGGATTTACTTTGATTTCTGGTTGCACATGAAGTATTGTTTTGACTTTTGCAGCTTTATTTATTTTTTCTTTTTTTTATGAAAGAAAGAAAGAGAAAGGGTGAGAGAGAACAGGAGTCTTTATTGCCCAGGCTGGAATGCAATCTAAAAATAGATATTAAAAACCTCTTTTATGCTGATAATTGTACTTAATAGCAGAGACAGGAAGGAATAAGGGAAGAAAATAACAAACAAACAGCCAACCAATATTTCATTTAAATCTGTAAAATGCTATGCAAATGCTGAAGAGTGATTTACTTCCATTTATGTGGTCACTTTTAAAATAGGTGTAATGTGATACTGGAAAAAATGTATGTTCTGTGGACCTGGGGTGAAGAATTCTATACATATTCAGTGAGTTTACTTGTTCCAGGTCTGAGTTCAAATCACAAATGTCCCTGTTAATTTTCTATCTCATTGATCTGCCGAATATTAACAATGCAGTGTCAAAGTCTCCCACTATTATTGTGCGGGAGTCTAAGTCTCTTTATAAGTCATTAAGAACTTGTCTTATGTATCTGGGTGCTCCTTGTCCTTCTTTGTTTCTTGTAATCGTTGTTACTATTAAAGTCTATTTTGTAAGAGATGAAAGCTACAACTCCTGTATTTTGTTTGTTTGTTTGTTTGTTTTTGCTTTCCATTTGATTGGTGAGTCTTCCTCCAACCTTTTGTTTTGAGTCTTTGTGTGTCCTCACTTATGAGATGGATCTGGATACAGCATGCTGATGGGTTTTAACTTTTTATTCAATTTGCGTGTCTATGTCTTTGATTGGGGCATTTAATCCATTTAAATTTAGGATTAATTATTGATATTTGTGAGTTTAATATTGTCATTTAATGCTAGCTGGCTATTTTGCCCATTAGTTGACATAGATTCTTTATTGTGAAGATACTCTTTATCTTTTGGTAAGTTTTTGGGATGACAGATACTGGTTGTTCCTTTCTGTGTGTAGTTCTTCTTTCAGAAGCTCTTGTAAAGCAGGCCTGGTGGTGATGAAATCTGAGTGCTTGCTTGTTCACAAAAGATTTTATTTTTCCTCCATTTATGAAGCTTAGTTTGGCTGGATATGAGATTCTGGGTTGAAAATTCTTTTCTTTGAGGATATTGAATATTGACCCTCACTCTCTTCTAGTTTGTAGGGTTTCTGCTGAGAGATCTGCTGTGAGTCTGATAGGCTTCCCTTTATGAGTAACCTGACCTTACTCTCTAGCTGCCCTTAGAATTTTCCCCTTTATTTCGACCCTGGTGAATCTAACAATTATGTGTCTTGGGGTTGCTCTTCTAGAGGAATATCTTTGTGGTGTTCTCTGTATTACCTGGAGTTGAGTATTGTCCTGTCTTACTAGGTTAGGAAAGTTTTCCTGAGTAATATCCTGAAGAATATTTTCCAGCTTAGATTTATTCTCTTCATGACATTCAGGTACACCTATCAAACGTAAATTAGGTCTTTTCACATAGTCCCATATTTCTTGGAGACTTTGCTCATTCCTTTTTACTTTTTCTTCTCTAATCTTGTCTTCTCATTTCATTTCATTAAGTTGGTCTTTGACCTCTGGTATCTTTTCTTCTGCTTGATCAATTCGAGTGTTAAAACCTGTGCATACTTCGTGGAGTTCTCATATTGTGTTCTTCAGTTCCATTAATTCACTTATAGTCCTCTCTAAATTGTCTATTCTCGTTAGGATTTCATCAAACTTTTTTTTCAAGGTTCCTAATTTCTTCACATTGGGCTAGAACATGTTCTTTTAACTCACAGAAGTTTCTTATTATCCACCTTCTGAAGCCTAATTCTGTTATTGGAATGCACTCATTCTCCATCAGGCCTTGTTCCCTTGTTGATGAGGATCTGTGATCCCCTGCAGAGGTAGAGGCATTCTGACTTTGAGTATTCTCAGCCTTTTTAAGCTGGTTTCTTCCTGTCATTGTAAATTTATTCACCTGTCTTTGTAATTATTGACTTTCAAATTAGGTCTCTGAGTGGACATCCAACCTATTGATTCCCAGGGCCGAATTCTGAGCAACCCACTGTGCTGGCTAAAACAGTGGTGTTAAGATTCTTGGTGCCTTTCTGCCCAGGAATCTCCAGTCTGGCTTCCCTCTTGAGTCCCTTTTTCAATCAGCTGAATGGGTGACTCTGCCTTCCTAGAGCTCCAAACTTCGACCAAAAGGGGAACCAGTCCTGTTTACTCTGCACTGAGAACTGCCATGCCGGGACACCAGCAAAACTGCCATGCCAGCCACAAGAGTCACCCTGGTGACCCGTGGGGCTCCTCCGCTGGGAATCTCCTGGTCTGTGAGCAACAAAAACTCATCTGAAAGTGTGGCATCCTGTCGTTCTCTGCGCTTTCACTGGGAGCTACAATCCTGAGCTGCTAGTAATCGGCCATCTTGGATCTCTCTCGACTTTTGCAGCTTCATGAATTCATCACATGGTGCTTCATACACCAGCCAGCCACATCCTAATTCCATGATTTTTTTTTTGTTACTGAATCATCTTATCTACTACCAATTTATTGATAAATTTGTAATTTTTAAAGTATTTCCCAAAAATATCAGATTATTCAAGAGATTACATGTTCACACAAGTTAATTTTGAAAACACCAATGCAAATTAATGTCATAATTATAATTGAGAAATATGTATCTAGTATATAATCTTGCTGTTGTAGGGGAAAAAAAAAACTCCTGGTGTGCCCTTTTCCTGTATTTTTTCTCTGAATTTCCTCCAATCAGCTCATGAAAGCTTCTTAAAATTTGGTCACTTTTGTGTAGCAATCATTTTTATTGGTTTTTCTTGAGAGTTTTTTCCTGGAAAAACAAGACAGAAGCAACAAATTGAAAAAGAACAACAAAAATCAAGCATTCAGAAAAAATAAAAATTACTTTGTATGTTCTCTATACACAATTACAAGCTGATCCTCTGACCATCAGCTTTTTTTTTTTTTTTTTTTTAATTTTTATTTTAGGTTTAGGGGTGTATATGCAGGATTGTTATGTAGTAAACTGTGTGTCACAGGGGTTCTGTATACAGATTATTTGTCACCCGGGTAATAAGCAAAGTACTCCACAGGTTTTTCAGGGTTTTTAAAAATCCTTGAACTCACAAGTTGGCCGATTAGGAGCAGCTCAGGATTGCAGCTCCCAGTGCAAGTGCAGAGGGTGAGTGGGCACCGCATTTCCAGATGGATTTTTATTGACCACAGACCAGGAGATTCCCAGGTGGAGGAGTCCCATGGGTCGCCAGCATGGCTGGTTTGGCTGGTGCAACTGCTTTGCCAGTGCCCCAGGGCGGCAGTTCTCTGTACAAAATGCATGGGCCCAGACACCATTTTAGCTGGTGATTGGAACTCCAGGAAGGCAGAGTTGCCCATTCATCTGATTAAAAAGCTAACTGAAACAGGGAGCCAGGCCACAAGATTTCCCGGACAAAAAAATGCCGCGAATCTCAGCACCACTGTCTCAGCTGGCGCAGTGGGTCACTGCACAGAAAATCACACAATTCCTGGTGCCTTTCCAACAGGCAACTGGAACACCTGGGAGAAGGTCTACTGTTCAACTAAAAAGAAAGGGCTCTGAGTCTGGGAGCCAGGTGATCAGGCTCGGCTAATCCCACCCCCACAAAACAATAGCAATTGGAAATGCTCTGGAAGCAATTGGAAACGCTCTGGATTGAGAGTTTCACAGCAAGCACAGCTGAACCCGGGAAGGTCCAGCTCTGTGGGGGAGGGGCATCCGCCATTACCGAGGCACTCCACCATTTCAGAGGTAGTCCGCCATTGCTGAGGCAGCCTGCCATTGCAGAGGCAACCAGCCACTACAGAGAGAGTCCGCCATTACAGGGGTGGGCTGACTTTGCTGAGGCAGTTCTAACCACACCTGTATAAACAGGACTACAGGGAAGTTCACATGGCAGCTGGGCAGAGCCCACAGAAGCTCAGCAAGGCCTCTGCAGGCAGACCGTGACTAGGCTGCCTCCTCGCTGGGCAGGGCAGCCCTGATAAAAAGGCAGCAGCACAACAGAAACTCATAAATAAAGCCCTAAGTACTTGGGACAGAGCACCTAGGGGTAAAAAACAAGGGGGGGGTTATGAGTTCTGCTGCAGCAGACTTAAACGTACCTGCTCAGCAACTCTAAATGAACAACAGAGATCACAGTTCTGCACTTGAGCTCCTATAAAGGACAGACTGTCTCCTCAAGCAGCTCCCTGACCACTGTATATCCAAAGAGTCACCTCATAAAGGAGAGATCAGACTGACATTTGGTGGGTATCCTTCTGGGACAAAGAAAGCAGAAGAAACTAGCAGCAACCCTTAATGTTCTGCAGCCACTGCAGGTGATCCCCAGGCAAGCAGGGCCTGGAGTGGACCTCAGCAGTCCTACAGCAGAGGGGCCAGACTGTTAGAAGAAAAACTAAGAAACAGAAGGAAATAACTGCATCATCAACAAACTAGATGTCCACTCAAAGACCCAATCTGAAAGTCAACAACTTCAAAGACAACAGGTGGATAAATCCACAAATATGGGAAGAAACCAGTGCAAAAAGGATGAAAGCACCTGAAACCAGAACGCCTCTCCTCCTACAAGGGATCACAACTCCTCACCAGCAAGGGAACAAGGCTGGATGGAGAACGAGTGTGATGAAATGACAGAATGAGACTTCAGAAGGTGGGTAATAAGAAACTTCTGTGAGCTAAAAGAACATGTTCTAACCCAATGCAAAGAAACTAAGAACCTTGAAAAAAGATTTGAAGAAATGCTAATAAGAATGGACAAATTAGAGAGGAATCTAAGTGAATTGATGGAGCTGAAAAACACAACACGAGAACTTCGTGAAGCATACACAAGTTTCAACAGCCAAATTGATCAAGCAGAAGAAAGGATATCAGAGGTCAAAGATCAACTCAATGAAATAAAACGAGAAGGCAAGATCAGAGAAAAAGGGGTAAAAAGGAATGAACAACATCTCCAAGAAATGTGGGACTATGTGAAAAGACCTAATCTATGTTTCATAGGTGTACCTGAATGTGACGAAGAGAATGAATTCAAGCTGGAAAATACTCTTCAGGATATTATCCAGGAAAACTTCTGCAACCTAGCAAGGCAGGCCAATATTCTAGTCCAGGAAATATAGAGAACACCACAAAGACATTCCTCAAGAAGAGCAACAGCAAGGCACATAATCGTCAGATTCACCAGGGTTGAAATGAAGGAGAAAATGCTAAGGGCAGCCAGAAAGAAAGGTCAGGTTACCCACAAAGGGAAGCCCATCAGACTCACAGCAGATCTCTCAGCAGAAACCCTACAAGTCAGAAGAGAGTGGGGGCCAATATTCAACACCCTTAAAGAAAAGAACGTTCAACCCAGAATCTCACACCCAGCCAAACTAAACTTCATAAGTGAAGGAAAAATACAATCTTTTGCAAACAAGCAAGTACTCAGAGATTTCATCACCACCAGGCCTGCTTTACAGGAGCTGCTGAAAGAGGCTCTACACATAGAAAGGAACAACCAGTACCAGCCACTCCAAAAAAAAACAAATGGTAAAGAGCATCAACACAATGAAGAATCTATATCAACTAATGGAAAAAACAGCCAGCTAGCATCAAAATGGCAGGATCACACGTAACAATATTAACCTTAAATGTAAATGGACTAAATGCCCCAATCAAAAGACACAGACTGGCAAATTGGATAAAAAGCCAAAACCCATCAGTGTGCTGTATCTAGGAAACCCATCTCACATGCGAGGATACACAAAGGCTCAAAGTAAAGGGATGCAGGAAGACTTACCAAGCAAATGGAGAGGGAAAAAAAAAAAAAAAAAAAAAGCAGGAGTTGCAATTCTCGTCTCTGATAAAATAGACTTAAAAACAACAAAGATCAAAAGAGACAAAGAAGGACACTACATAATGGTAAAAGGATCAATGCAACCAGAAGAGCTAACGATCCTAAATATATACGCACCCAATACAGGAGCACCCAGATACATAAGGCAAGTTCTTAATGACTTACAAAGAGACTTAGACTCCCACACAATAATAGTGGGAGACTTTAACACCCCTTGTCTATATTAGACAGATCAACCAGACAGAAAATTAACAAAGATATCAAGGACTTGAACTCAGACCTGGAACAAGCAAACCTAATAGACATTTACAGAACTCTCCACCTCAAATCCACAGAATATACATTCTTCTCAGCACCACATCACACCTATTCTAAAACTGACCACATAATTGGAAGCAAATCACTTGTCAGCAAATGCAAAAGAACAGAAATCGTAACAGTCTCTCAGACCACAGTGCAATCAAGTTAGAACTCAGAATTCAGAAACTAACTCAGAACTGCACAGCCTCATGGAAACTGAACAACTTGCTCTTGAATGTTGACTGGATAAACAATGAAATGAAGGCAGAAATAAAGATGTTCTTTGAAACCAACGAGAATGAAGACTCAACATACCAGAATCTCTGGGACACATTTAAAGCAGTCTCTAGAGGAAAATATATAGCAATGAATGCCCACATGAGAAGAAAGGAGAGATCTAAAATCGACATCCTATCATCGAAATTGAAAGAGCTAGAGGAGCAAGATCAAAAAAATTCAAAACCTAGCAGAAGCCAGGAAATAACTAAGATCAGAGCAGAACTAAAGGAGATAGAGACACAAAAAACTCTTCAAAAAATTAATAAATCCAGGAGCTGGTATTTCAAAAAGATTAACAAAACAGACAGACCATTAGCCAGATTAATAAAAAAGAAAAGAGAGAATAACCAAATTGATGCAATAAAAAATGATAAAGGGGAGATCACCACAGATTCCACAGAAATTCAAACCATCATCAGAGATTATTACAAACAACTCTATGCACATAAACTAGTAAACCTGGTAAAATGGATAAATTCCTGGACACTTGCCTCCTCCCAAGCCTAAACCAGGAAGAAGTCAAAACCCTGAATAGACCAATAATAAGGTCTGAAGTTGAGGCAGCAATTAAGAGCCTACGACCCAAAAAAAAGCCCAGTCCAGATGGGTTCACAGCCGAATTCTACCAGACATACAAAGAGGAGCTGGTACCATTCCTTCTGAAACTATTCCAGATAATCCAAAAAGAGGGAAGCCTTCCCTAATCATTGTATGAGACCAACATCATCCTGATACCAAAACTCGACAGAGACTCAACAAGAAAAGAAAACTTCAGGCCAATATCCATGATGAACATAGATGCAAAAATCTTCAATAAAATACTGGCAAGCCGATTGCAACAGCACATCAAAAAGCTTATCCATCATGATCCAGTAGGATTTATCCTAGGGATGCAAGGCTGGTTCAACATATGCAAGTCCATAAACTTAATTCACCACATAAACAAAATCAAAGAAAAAAACCACATGATTATCTCAATTGATGCAGAGAAGGCCTTTGACAAAATTCAACAGCCCTTTATGCTAAAAACCCTCCATAAACTAAGTATTGATGGAATGTATCTCAAAATCATAAAAGCTATTTATGACAAACCAACAGCCAATATCATACTGAATGGGCAAAAACTGGAAGCATTCCCTTTGAAATCTGGCACTAGACAAGGATGCCCTCTCTCACCACTCCTATTCAATATAGTACTGGAAGTTCTAGCCAGAGCAATCAGGCAAGAAAAAGAAATAAAAGATATTCAAATAGAAAAGGAGGAAATCAAATTGTCTCCATTTGCAGACAACATGATTGTATATCTAGAAGACCCCATTATCTCAGCCCTAAATCTCCTGAAACTGATAAGCAACTTCAGCAAAGTCTCAGGGTACATAATGAATGTGCAAAAATCACGAGCATTCCTATACACCAATAACAGACTTAAAGAGAGCCAAATCAAGAATGAACTGCCATTCACAATTGCTGCAAAGAGAATAAAATACCTAGGAATACAACTAACAAAGAACATAAAGGAGGACTTCTTCAAGGAGAACTACAAACCACTGTTCAATGAAATAAGAGAGGACACAAACAGATGGAGAAACATTCCATGTTCATTGTTAGGTAGAATCAATGTTGTCAAAATGGCCATACTGCCCAAAGTAATATACAGATTCAACACTATCCCCATCAAGAAACTAATGACCTTCTTCACAGAATTGGAAAAAACAACCTTAAACTTCATATGGAACTAAAAGAGAGCCCGCATAGCCAAGTCAATTCTAAGCAAAAAGAACAAAGCGGGAGGCATCACACTACCGGACTTCAAACTATACTACAAGGCTACAGTAATCAAAATAGCATGGTACTGGTACCAAAACAGAGATATAGACCAATGGAACAGAACAGAGGGCTTGAAGGCACCACAACATATCTACAACCATCCGACCTTTGACAAATCTGACAAAAACAAGCAATGGGGAAAGGATTCCCTGTTTAATAAATGGTGTTGGGAAAACTGGCTAGCCATGTGCAGAAAGCTGAAACTGGACCCCTTCCTGACACCTTACACTAAAATTAACTCCAGATGGATTAAAGACTTAAACATAAGACCTAACACCATAAAAACCGTAGAAGAAAACCTAGGCAAAACCATTCAGGACATAGGCGTAGGCAAGGACTTCATGACCAAAACACCAAAAGCATTGGCAACAAAAGCCAAAATAGACAAATGGGACCTAATCAAACTCCACAGCTTCTGCACAGCAAAAGAAACAGTCATTAGTGTGAATCAGCAACCAACAGAATGGAAAAAAATTTTTGCAGTTTACCTATCTGACAAAGGGCTTATATCCAGAATGTACAAAGAACTAAAACAGATTTACAAGAAAAACACAAACAAGCCTATTCAAAAGTGGGCAAAGGTTATGAACAGACACTTTACAAAAGAAGACATACATGAGGCCAACAAACATATGAAAAAATGCTCATCATCACTGGTCATCAGAGAAATGCAAATCAAAACTACATTGAGATACCATCTCACGCCAGTTAGAATGGTGATCATTAAAAAATCTGGAGACAACAGATGTTGGAGAGGATGTGGAGAAATAGGAACACTTTTACACTGTTGGTGGGAGTGTAAATTAGTTCATCCATTGTGGAAGACAGTGTGGCGATTCCTCAAGGACCTAGAAATAGAAATTCCATTTGACCCAGCAATCCCATTACTGGGTATATATCCAAAGGATTATAAATCATTCTACTATAAGGACACATGCACATGAATGTTCATTGCAGCACTGTTTACAATAGCAAAGGCCTGGAACCAACCCAAATGCCCATCGATGATAGACTGGACAGGGAAAATGTGGCACATATACACCATGGAATATTATGCAGCCATCAAAAATGATGAGTTCATGTCCTTTGTAGGGACATGGATGAACCTGGAAGCCATCATTCTCAGCAAACTGACACAGGAGCAGAAAATCAAACACCACATGTTCTCACTCATAGGCGGGTGTTGAACAATGAGAACACATGGACACAGGGAGGGGAGCAGTACACACTGGGGTCTGTTGGGGAAAATAGGGGAGGGACAGCAGAGGGGTGGGGAGTTGGGGGGGGATGGCAATGGGGAGAAATGCCAGATAGAGGTGATGGGGAGGAAGGCAGCAAATCACACTGCCATGTGTATACGTATGCAATAATCTTGCATGTTCTTCACATATACCCCAAAACCTAAAATGCAATTAAAAAAAGAGCTATAAGAAAGGATTTGAGTGTTCTCACCACAAATAAATGATAAGTGTTTAAGATTATAGATATGCTAATTACCCTGATTTATGTGTATCAAAACATCACACTGTTCCCCATAATATGTACAATTATTTTGAGTCAATTAAAAACAAAATAAAAGGCCAAGGCAGGTGGATTGCTTGAGCCCAGGAGTTTGAGATCAGCTTGGGCAACATAGTAAAACCCAATTTCTACTAAAAATACAAACAATTAGTCCTGTGTAGAGGCATGCACCTGTGGTCTCAGCTACTCGAGAGGCAGAGGTGAGAGAATCACCTGAACCCAGGAAGTCATGGCTTCAGTGAGCTGTGATTGCCCCACTACACTCCAGCTGGGTGACAGAGGAGACCCTGTCTTTAAATACACAAATAAAATAAAACTTAAAACTTAAAATTAAAAATTAAAAATATTTTTTCCTATTTTCTCTATTCTAAATCCTTCTATTACTCGTGGCAGCAAGACTGACTCAATTTCATAGGCAACTAGACAAGATTTATCTCCTTTATTATCTTTTCAAGGAGGATCTTTAACTCTTTGTGAGAGTCTTCCTTCACTATTAAAGACAGTCTTCCTTCACTATTTTGTTTCTTTCCCCAGTATATCCCAAGCTCTATGAGTAGAAGAATCATTAGGTACCATCATGAGTGTGTGCCTTTCATGAGGCAGGGTAGTATATGCCATCACGACATAGTTCTTTTTTGTCTCTTCATCACTAAAACCACCAGTGAGGGTGTCTCTGTAATCTAGAGTTGGAATTCAGAATGGATAGAGCTGGCCCTGCTGCTAATGAAAGGCAATGGCCCAAGTGGAAGTAGCTCAGGAAAGGCTAAGCTTTCACAGTAATCCCAAGGATACATATGGTGTTTTTCATCTCTTATCACAGATCTGTTTCTCTCAGGACATGGCTAGAAGATTGACTCACTGATTTTCCAAATCGTTGATGGTATCAGGCAGAGGCAGATTCTTGGTTTCTGGCAGGAGGAAGACAACAATACCAGCAATGATGGGGAAAACTCCGTAAATGATCCATGGCAAAGTGGTAACAAACACTGTTAAGGTCATCAAGACGGGAGCCAGTGCTGCTCCAATCCTACTAGTCATTAAATCAATTCCTAAAGCTCTTGCCCTAAAGATAAATGACAATACATGATAATCAGTAAAAAATCTACACACGTAATTTGTGACACATTATTTTGACAACTACAGAAGACAATAAAACACAATCATTAAAAATATGGGCAAACAGTTGCTTTTGAGACTTTCTATATGATTTTCTAGCTGTTTTTAATCAGATTCAATGTGAGTTAAGATTCCTTTTCATCATTTTGAACAGACTGTTACACATTACACCTACTCTGATGAGTGGTCCAAAAGTTTAGTGAGATGATGCATTAAAATACTGCCCAGCACAGTAGATGGCACAAAGCCATCTTGCAATAAACATTGGCCATAATTTTTTATTATATTATTAGTATCATAAATGATTGCTTTTATAATGATAAACAGGTCTCAGTTTTATTCCCTCAGTAAGTGTTTGGTGGGAAATTCTTATTTTGGGCTCTGTTGGAGCATCCATTTCTCTTATACCTGAGAACAGTGGGGACGAGTTCAATGAAGTGAACAGCACAACTGGAAAAAGTAGCAGCAGAACAGCCGATTCCCACACATGCCAAAGCCACACGCAGGGTCTGCATTTCTGGGAAATAGAAGAGACCAGTGAGACTCTGAGATCTGGGCTAAAGGAAGCAACATCCACCAAACTTAATTTTAAAACAACCTATTGAGTATTTGCATGTTTGAAAAATACTGTAGAAACCTGAACAGTGACAGAGAACATCCAGTGGTTGATAAGCTGATAAATTATCAGATTAGAATTATCAACTTAGGTGACAAAAATGCATAAAATTATCTGGATTAATACAGGAAATTCCCCTGCATATCTAAGATTTTTTCAGAGAGAGAGGGGAAAAGATGAGTCCAGCAGAAATTTTTTCTTACTTATTCTATCCAGTATTTGCTATGACCATTCTATAGAAGGTAGAACCATCATGTGGACAATTATTGAGGAGTCTGAGACTCAGCACTAAGCTTGAGAACTTTACAATTAAAGTGCAGAATTTAAAGTGATGAGCCATCCTCAACTTCCCAGGGATGAAGGGGTTTTAGTGATGTGAAAATTTTATTCATAAAACCAAGGAAGTCTCAGGTAAATCTGGATAACTTAGTCAATCTAGTGCAGATGCTGTATTGTCATGGAGTTGGTATTGCACAAGAGACTAATGAAAAATATCCTTTGTTACAGGGCAGAGTAAAGAGAGGCTAGATCCAGAATGGTGACAGGCATAAGGAAGCAAGAAATAGAACTTCTATTTGGGGAAAAATAAATTCAGAATTTGGAAGCCATTAAAAGGAAGTTTTAGAGAATGTTTTCCGCCTAATGTAAAAAGAAATAGAATCATACCTTTATAAGATTAGAAAGTGCTCTAATGTCAGACAGGAAATATACATTATTGATAATATTCAGAAAGAGGAGTCGAGTTCCCCAATCTATTATGTGATAATATACATTCTTGTATTGGGAAGCAGGGAAGGCATAATGCCTACTAAGTTTCCCCTAATCATTATATATAATCATTGTATTAACTTATAAAATAGTCTAACAGGGAGGTAAATAGGCTTTTAATCTGCCTAGTTTGTTGTTCCTACCATATATTTGTTCTCTGCTTGAAAACAAAGGATTTCTATTTCATGAAAGTCAAAAAGATTTCCCCCAATCCAGGGCTGCAGTCATGGTGACTTAACATCACACCCAAGTGTGGCTACACAGATCTCAGTGAGTAGACTGGTCAGTGAAGACAGAGTAATGAGGAAGAACCTAGACAGAGCCCACACAAAGGAAGCAATCATATCGTGTGCTCATGCCATGCTTGTTATCAAAAATGTGATTAACCAAAGGACATGTGATCAGTTGATGTCCTAGATAAACTGTCAGGAATGAATGGCACCACTATCTAGCTACTTCCAGAGTTGATGAAGATAAATGCAGATCTGAGCTGCCCCTGGCTTTTTTCTCAATTCTTAGCCAAATCTGTATTACATGCTCATATTGCTTTGGGGGAATATGCAGCCTTTAAATGGCACCCCTCCTTATTCCTGGTTTTAGGCAAATGTGACCAATACAATTCCAGAAGAATAAAGAGAAGACACTTTCTTTCCCCCAAAGTCCACTATTCTCTCACCTTTGGGCACAAACGTGTTGGCCAAAATGGAAAGGCCCACCAGGAACATGAACAACATCTCGCTTATTCGACGGCCCATATGATTTAGTGTGAAAAGAGCAAGACCTCGGACTATGAGAGTGACAACTCCAAAAAGGACCTGCAACAGGAAAATATTGCTCCCCACATGCTGAAGATTGATCATGATACCAAAAAAAGGTATTGTGTTTGCAAATCTGTAGTGAACAAAATAGAAAAGATACATCATAAGGTTTAGAGCCTACTTCCTGCAGTCGATTATCATATTGGCCCAGGCTGTCATTGGTCACTGTTAAGAAATAAAGACTCAGTACGATTTGTAGAGTATTTTGTTTTAAAGATGATGATCTTAGAGTTATCTTGAATAATTGCATGACATTTTATAAGAACAGGACTCCTGTCAGTCATTCTTTTGTACAAGTCTTCAAGCATATAGTTGATAATCACGGGAAAACTTAACCTGAATCAGTCATCAAACTCAATGGTATATAAGCATTGAACATAGAAGAATTAAAGCTTGACAATTAGGGAAATAATTCCTTTTCTCAGAGCTGTCAGTATGCTGCGAGTGCTCTTTCTCTTCTCCCCAACACTACTGCTATGAAGAATTTTCCCTTTGCTGGAGAGTAAGGCTCAAAAAGACTACCTGCTTGGCAGCACTATCTGGGAGCACAGCGTTGTAGCGCCTGACACAATTATAAGAAATTTAAGGTAAGAAACAGTGGTTCTCTCCTGAGGAGTCAGAGCAGAGACAGAGAATGTGATGAATGAATAAGCATACTGGAGGGACACAGAGGCAGGGATACACGTGTTCCTCTTATAGACCATCTGTGGGCTCTTTGGAAGTAGGAGCTGACCAGAAGCCATTTTAAGTAAAAAAGAAAGAAAAAAAAAAAAAAAAAAACCATTCAAGCACTCTATGTCTTTAATTGCAGAACTTAATCCATTTACATTCAAGGTAATTATTGATAGGTAAGGGCTGAGCATTTCCATTTTGTTGCTTGTTTTCTACTTGTTTTGCAGATTTTTTTCCCTTTTCTTTCACTTTTAGAGTTTTTATTTGTGTTTTTCTCTAGTAGTATCTTCTGATTCTTTGTGCTTTAATTTTAGCATATCTATTATAGGTTTTTGCTTTGCGGTTACCACATATCTTCTAAAAAACATCATATAGCTGTAACAAGTTGTTTTAAATGATAACGGAACTAGTTCACATTAATGATCTACTATATCCAGAAAGAGCCAGCTTTAGACTTTATGGCAGAAGAAACCACCACAGATCATAGCAATTCCAAGTAAGAAAGTTCTTCTCTGACCAGTATCTCTACATATTTGTCCCACTCTGACTGTCTAGGATTCAGAAGCCAGAGTCTGTGATGTGGTGGGTAGGGGAAAAGTGATAAAACACAGTGCAATTAAATGGAGTAGCCACCTATAGGATATGCCTTGGAAGAGGTAAACTGTACAATTCAATAGTACTGTGTTCAGCTTGGAAGTGGACGTATGCTCTCCTGTAACGCTTTTTATAGGTTTTCAAAAATTCAGAATTATATTTAAAATTTTTTCTACTGACACTACCAAAGTAAGTACTTACATATCCCCAAGAGGCAATGTACAAGATTGTCTACAGAAGCCCTTGTGCAAACACCCCAAATGGGAAATAAGTAAAAGTCCACCAACAATGAAGTAGATAAAGAAATTGTACTGTATTCATCTTTTGGAATGCTGAAACACTGAGAAGGAGAACAACCTATTGTTACGTGCAACACACTGATAAATCTTAAGAAAGTAAAGTTGAGGAAAAGGAGCCTGTGACAAACAGAGCCATGTTATCTTTTACATTTTGTGAAGGTCAAAATCAGGAACAATCCTACATGGTGATGGAGGCCAGACTGTTTTTAAGTTTTTTTGGCAGGGAAGTTGTTATTGCTGCAGATGATGCACAAGGTTTTTCTACATCTTAATCTGGGTGTTGATTATATTTTCTGTTTCCTTCCTTCCTTCCTTCTTTCCTTCCTTCCTTCCTTTTCTTCCTTTCTTCATTTCTTCTTTTCTTTCTTTCCCTCTATCCCTCCCTCCCTCCCTCCCTCTCCCTCTCTCTCTCTCTTTTTTTCTTTCTCTTTCTTTCTTTCTTGGAGTTGTACACATTCATAATCTATGCACATTACTAAGATTTGTTTCAAGTAGAATTGAAAAAAATAACGAAAATTAAACACCAAAATTTATCCTCAGTATCGACTGCCAGTGACGAGACTAGTAGGATGATAGGGCTAACTGACTCCTCACTGTGTAACTAGTCCATGTGAGTCTATGTAACCCTCTGCCTACCTTCAAATGTAGCAGTTATCTGTATATTTTCTTCATCTTTTATGTACAAATCAGCCCTACATGCACCTGCACACACACACACGCATACAGACACAGAGTACTGTTGTAACCTTTGAAATAAAAAATCCATTCATGTCACCACACTTTTAATGCCCCTCATATACTGTAATGCCCACCTGATAAATGACAGGATACAGATCCTTTTACGCATAATGGGGTGGCGGAACAAGTCACACGCAGTTGTTTTGATCTGTGCTGCCTCCAGTTCCTCCTGCATGGTAGATCTCACAACCTTTGATAACAAACATGGATCATTTACCAACATCGCCCCAGGCATTGTGATGAGAACTGGCACTCAGTAGGACAAGGGAAATGTGTACCCTGTCTCTCAAGTGTGATCTATGATACACAATTACAGGAGTGAAAGTGGTGTGAAGTAAAATAAATGAAAACATTAAAGGAGCCTTCAGGAAATTATGCAGCAATAAAGACATTTGAAAATGAGGCCTCAAAGGGGTGTAGTGTATCCACAAGGATGCATAGGTTATAGATTCAGATCAGGAAGTAAACTAAAGGAAGAGATAGTTACATAATTCCCAAAGCTTCTTTTAAATAAGATGGCCTTGAAAAAAAATGAGAACTGAGCTTGTGTTCTCAGCTAGCTACCCTTCTTAGAAGCAGTTTGTCTGTCTTGGCAAGGAGAAGACAGGTGTTAGCTTATGTCATCTCTTCAACCCAGTAACCACCTTCCCTTTCCTACTCACATCTATGTTCAGGGTTTCTTCAGCATTCTTCATTCCATTTGTGCGTGCAACTTTTCTAAGTGCTTTTAAGCCCTCATCTATTTTATTGGTGATTATCAACCACCGAGCAGATTCGAACAGCCACCTGATAAAAGAAAAACACACCAGTGCAGTTACCTCTTTCTTATTAGTCATATGATTATTGGCTATGGGTGTCTTTTGCCTTCTATTTATCACCCACCACTTAGTTGGGTTGAAAATAGAAAGTTATATTTTATTATAAAAATACTAAGAAAACAGGACCATGATCCTGCAGTACACCTTCATGGTTTAGGAACACAGACTCTGGAGTTAAATTGCTTCTTTGTCTGATCACATGAAAATTTTCAAAGAAGTTTGTGAAGCCTAAGCTTTAGGCTCCCTACATGCATAAGTTCTTTCCAAAGCTTGGCATGAGTTCTAGCAAATTTATGTCGATGATACGTATTCTTAAAAAAAAAAAAAAAAAAGTCTTCAAATTATGTAAGCTTAAAGCTGCTCAAAGTTTGGAAGTACTTCTGTAGTTTTGGAAGTTACCACTAGCAGCTATGTTGGTAACTTAGTATGCAAGTGAGTCATTCATTTACATCTGCTTCAGTTTCCTTATCAATAAAATGAAAACAGCAGTGCTATATTCCTTATTGGGTTGTTATGAAGATGGAATAAGATAATGGATGAGTCTGACATGGATTATGCTCTACTCTATCAAAATTCATCTCACTGTGTTAAATCTGTAGTAATATCTCAATGTTCCAGTAATTTCTAACTGAATGATACTCCCCTAGATTGTTTTTAAACATAGAGAAGTTTGCCACAAATAAATGTTTATTAAAATTATCTAATGGAGGAGGAAGTGCTGAATGCATGCTGTAAATCACTCAAACTGCATACCAACTTTTAGTACTGGTGAAACTGTGCTGCTCTATTGCCAAAGAGCTGTATGGATACATTTGTGGTCTCTTGCTTTTATCCAATTTCACCTGTAAAAGTGAAAAGCATTATACACATCACCATAGCCTGATTTATTTCCAGGTAAAAATGAATCAGAGATATTCCTTTCAAAACATTTGGGTCTGTATTTTTAGTAAGAAAAACAAAATTGGAATTTTTCTATGTCCACTATAAAAGTTTTTTTCAAATTTTACGTCAGAAATCCCAGGCAGAAGTCACTGCTATTTACCATTCTGTTTCTCAAGCTGCACAGAGTGAACAGATGAGAACATCAGTCTAGGTCCAAAAGTGGGACTAAGAAAATCAATATGTTCTTATTCAATATTCATTTTCATCCCAGGACCCCATAAGACAAAGTAAGAGAAAAGGCTCCTACCTTGAGAAAAGAAAGAAGACAAAGAAAGGTACAGACACCACCACATGCAGGATTCGCCAATCTCGAAAGAAATAAGCCAAGCCTCCCAGGATTATCTGTCCAACGCTAAGGGCACCAGATAACAGTATTACTACCAGGGCTTTAGACTGGGGCCTTATCCACTCGGTAGCTGAAAGAAAACCCATAGAGCATTTTAAAGTCAAATAAAGATGAAATTTCAGTTTCAGATTCCAGGCTCAAAAAATAGAGAAGATCACAATGGTTGACTTACTGAGCGTGGTATTATTTGACAAGATGGTCATGGAAGAAAAACCTGCCAAGAAGCGTAGTAAACAGTAAACAGAGAAGTTGGGAGCAAAGGCAGTGCAGGTGTCAGTGATGGCAAGCTGCAGGAAAGCCCATCTGAGAATCAATCTTCGCCCATACCTGAGAAACAGAGAGTCATGTTAGATGATGACAGCAATAATAGCTTGAGGTAAAAACTTAAGAAAATGAAAGCTTACTCTAAAATTTGATAATATTTGAACAAATTATTTTGTGTACTTGAAATCCTGAAAGATCAAGAGCTAAATCAACAAGAATATCCTCAGAAATAATCCTCCCTGTTTATAATACAGACTAACAATATCAAAATTTCATCATTTAATAACAAGAAGGCATCTGATACCAACTGATACTGTATAAAAGAAGCTACAATGTTGGAATTTTAATATGTAATAAGTGTCTATTATATTAACATACATATCTAGAATAGTAGAGAGTCTGCATAGTATATGAACTACAAGAGTTAAATATGTATTTGGGTCTTGAAGATTATGCAGGCCAAGGCTAAGCTCATATATAAGATATGTCAGTTGAACAATGCATCAAAGTTTCTGTTGAATTGCCTAAGGGTTCTCATCAAGAAACTTGGACTCTTATTGTTAATCTGGGTTTATAGATCTCTGTGTTCCATCTAGAATAGAGTAACACCTCCATAGGTCTAACCCTAGGCTTAACTTCTCCAAACCACACGTGCATGCACATACCCCAGCATGCACCCCTGAGAACCAGCCTGGCAAGCTGAACCCCAGCAAAACCTTACTACCATAACCAACTGTTGCAGCCTATGCTGCTTAGACACTAATACATAGACACTAGTACATGTCACTAGCCTAAATTAAAGCTGAAGAAACTACACAGAAACTATATTACCCATCTAGAACCAAAGTCTAACATACCCCATAAAAGTTACAATGCAAGACCCATTCATACAAATAAGTCTTTTCTTACAAAGCCTCTTCATAAACTTGTAAGAGGCAACCTTTCCTCTCAGTGCAAAGAAATCAATGTAGAGACAAATCAAACATTACAAAGGAAGAAATTTGACACCTTTAAAGGACCACAATAATTTTCCTATAATAGATCCCAATTATAGAGAATTATACAAAATGCCAGAAAAAGAATCTAAAATAACAATACTAAACAAACTCAGTGAGACACAAGAGACCATAGATAGACAATTCAATAAAATTACAAAAACAATACATAATTTGAGAAATTTAACAAAGATATAGATATAAAAAATTGAATAATTCAATGAATAAAATTAAAAAATGCAACTGACAGCTTCAACCATAGACTGGACCAAGTAGAAGAAATTTCTAAACTTAAAAACAGTTTGCTAAAAATAGAAGAGGGAGATGAAAGAAAAAGAATTATAAAAAATGAAGAAAGCCTACAGAATTTATAAACACCATTAAGTGAATAAATATTTGCATTATGAGAATTCCAAAAGAGAAGGGAAAAGGTTAGAAAATATATTTTATGATATAATAGCTGAAAAATTCCCAAGTCTTGGGAGAAAGATGGACATCCTGGTACAAGAAGCTCAAAGAATGCCTAATAGATTCAATTCAAATAGGTCCCCTATGAGGCACATTATAGTCAAACTGTCAAAAAAGCAAAGACAAAGAAAAAATACTAAAAGCAGCAAGAATAAAGAATCAAGTCACATATAAAGGAATTCCTATTAGACTAACAGCAAATTTCTGAGCAGAAACCTTGGAGGACAGGAGAAAGTGAGATAAAACATCCGAAGTCCTCAAAGAAAAAAGTGCCAGAAAAAAAATTATACCCTGCCAAATTCTTCTATGCTTCAGAAATAAAGAAAATATAAAATCTTTTACATAGAAGCAAAAACTAAGGGAATTATCACCACAGAAACAGCCAAAAACATTCTCTAGGGAATCTTACATCTTGAAGTAAAGAGATGGTGATTACCATTATGAAAGCAACTAAAACCATAAAGCGTACTAGAAGAGCCAATAAACAAAGGATAAAGATAGGATAGAAGAATCATATCTAATCAGTACAGTAAAACACCCAACAAGCCTACCACCACCACCACCACCAACAACAAAATAAGTAAATAAATAAAAGCCCAGACCAAACAGAATCAGAGCTGAATTATACCAGAAGTTAAAAAAAAAAAAAAAAAAAAAGGTTGGCACCATTCTTGCTGAAACTATTCCAGAAAATTAAGGAGGAGGGACTCCTTCCTAACTCATTCTATTAGACCAGCATCATCCTGATACCAAAATCTGGCAGAGATTTAAAAAACAACAACAACAACAACAAAAAAAAAAAAACTTCACACAGGCCAATATCTTTGGTGAATATCAATGCAAAAGTCCTCAACAAAATAGTGGCAAACCAAATCCAGCAGCATATCAGAAAGATTATCCATCATGATTAAGTATGTCTTATCCCTGGGATGCAAGGTTGGTTCAATATTTGTAAATAAGTATATCTGATTCATCACATAAATGGAACTAAAGACAAAAACCACACAATTATCTAAATAGATCAAGAAAAGGTTTTTGATAAAATTCAACATTTCATATTAAAAACCTTCAATAAAGTAGGTATTGAAGAAACATGCCTCAAAAGAACAAGAGCCATATATGACAAACCCACAACCAACATCATATTGAATAAGCAAAAGCTCAAAGCATTCACCTTGTAAATTGGCACAAGACACCACTCCTATTCAACATAGCATTGGAAGTCATAGGTAGGGCAATCAGGCAAGAGTAAGAAATAAAGAGAATCCAAATAGGAAGAGAGGAAGTCAAACTATCCCTGTTGGCAGATGACATGATACTGTATCTATAAACCCCCATAGTCTCAGCCCAAAAGCTTTTAAAGCTGATAAACAACTTCAGCAAAGTCTCAGGATAGAACATCAATGTGCAAAAGTTGTTAACATCCTTATACACCAAGAACAGTCAAGCTGAGAGCCAAATCAGGAATGCAATCCCATTTACAATTGCCACAAAAGAATAAAATACCTAGGAATACAGCTAACTAGTGAAGTGAAAGATGTCTACAAGGAGAACTACAAAACTACTCAAAGAAGTCAAAGATGACATCAAAAAATGGAAAACCATTCCATGCTCATGAGTAGAAAGAGTCAATATTGTAAAAATGGCTATAATGCCCTGAAATGGTTTGGCTGTATCCTCACACAAATCTCATCTTGAACTGTAGTTCCCATAATCCCCATGTGTTGCAGGAGGGACCTGGTGAGAGGTAATTGAATCAATTGAAACATGGAGGTGTTACCTCCATACTGGTTTAATGATAGTGGGTGAGTTCTCATGAGATCCGACAGTTTTACAAGGGGCTTTCACCCCCTTCACTCTGCACTTCTCTTTCCTGCCACCATGTGAATAAAGGATGTGTTTGCTTCCTCTTCCACCATGATTTTAAGTTTCCTGAGGTCTCCCCAGTCATGCTGAACTGTCAGTCAATTAAACCTCTTTTCTTTATAAATTACCCAGGCTCAGGGAGTTTTTTATAGTAGCATGAGAGTGAACTAATACATGGCCAAAGCAATTTATAGATTTAAAGCTATTCCTATTAAACTACCACTGAGATTCTTCACAGAACTAAAAAAAAACAAAAAACATTACTTTAAAATGTATATTGTTATGGTTTGGCTCTGTGTCCCCAACCAAATCTCATGTTGAATTGTAATAATTCCCATGTGTCATGGGAGGGAGCCAGTGGGAAGTAATTAAATCATGGGGGCTGGTTTTTCCCATGATGTTCTCCTGAAGGCAAAAAGTCTCATGAGATCTGATGGCTTTATAAAGAGGAGTTCCCCTGAACACACTTTCTTGCCTGCCACCGTTTAAGACATGAATTTGTTCCTCATTTGTTTTCTACCAAAATTGTGAGGCCTTCAAGCCATGTGGAACTGTGAGTCAATTAAACCTCTTTCCTTTATAAATTACCCAGCCTTAGGTATGTCTTTATTAGTAGAATGAGAACAGATTAACACACCTACTCTAGTGGGGTAATTGTGATAACGACAACCAGGCTGGGAATCCACAAGCATTTAGCTCACAGAGTACAGGAGAGACCTAACACAACATCCCTGGCCAAGGTCTACACACCATTTCATATATTTGTCTTTAAAGAGGCTGAATTTCCTATCTTGAAGCACCTTCCCTTCTTTTTCTGTAGGTAACTCAGTCACATCCTTCTAAACTACGTATTATGGTGTCTACTTTCTAGATTCTGTTCTGAAATTCCCCTAGTCCGATGGAGATGTCATTTCAGTATCCTATACTGAGATGCTGTTTAGAGATCTCTGTGGCAACAAGATGGCCCTCACTAAATTCACTTTAATTCATTTCTTTATCTAGCTCTCTAGGGAAAAAAGCAGCACCAACAGCATAAATTGCATATTATAACTCAATAACACTTCTTTATGAAAGAATTAATTGTAAGCTGATGAAAACACTGCAGAGTAATGATAACCCTGATCTTGAGACACTCACCTGTCTGAGAAATGGCCACCTATGATGCTTCCCACCAACATTCCAGTCAGAAGTAGGAATTGAATCACGGATTTCAGTGACCGATAATCACATACCATGTCCCACTGGAAGAGAAGGAAACCAATACAACATAGCTTCACAGCAGCTTTTGACTTCTCAATGTTCACTTGCTGCATTAGCTTTCAGTGGACATACTCTCTAGCCTCTTTTTAGTATTTCTTACCTATACCATTCAAATCTTGGTGTAAGCATGGCTTTCGCTGGAAATTCTCACCCAAAACCTTCCAGATTATGTTAATATCTGTCTTTATATTCACTCAGAACTGCATAACTCAGTGGTTCGCAATTTTTTGCTGCACATTAAACACATTAAAGAGTTTTTTTGTTTTTTGGTTTTTGGTTTTTTTTTTGAGACAGAGTCTTGCTCTGTCTCCAGGTGCCAGGCTGGACTGCAGTGGCACGATCTTGGCTCACTGCAACCTCCACCTCCTGGGTTCAAGCAATTCTCCTGCCTCAGCCTCCTGAGTAGCTAGGACAACAGGCATGTACCACCATGCCCAGCTAATTTTTGTGTTTTTTTTAGTAGAAATGGGGGTTGCACCATGTTGGCCAGGATGGTTTCGATCTCTTGACCTCGTGATCCACCTGCCTCGGCCTCCCAAAGTGCTGGGATTACAGGCATGAGCCACCACACCCGGCTGGAAATTTTTTTTAGACATTAATGCTGGCATGAAATCCACTCTGATTTGCTTCTCTAACACATTGCCAAAGCATGTAGATTCTTAAAATAACACAGATGTTTCCAATTTGCAACTTAGGCTGAGAACAAGTGACCAGGAAGAATATTTTTCTAATCATTAGTCTTCTCTTCACACTAGTTTTGTGATAGCTGTATTTATATCTAGTTGGTTGAGTTCATTGTCTCAAATTTGATGCAAGTGGCTGGCAATTAAAAAATAAGCAGCCAGGCACAGTGGCTAACACCTGTAATTCCAGCAGTTTGGGAGGCCCAGGCAGGTGGGTCACCTGAGGTCAGGAGTAACTCCAGCCTGGTGACAGAGAGAGACTCCATCTCAAAAAATAAATAAATAAATAAATAAATAAATAACAACAACAAAATCACTATTTTCCAAAAGAGTGACTGAGAGGTGACTATAGTATCTACACAATAACATAAAGCATGTTTATGTTCTTCTAAACACCTAGATTGTGTATCCAGAACAGGTTAACAGGAACTTTTACCTTAGTCACAATGTTTGAAGGGAAGTAGCTTTGGTCATACACCCAGCCATCCACACAGCGCTCTGTGTCTGCTACACTTGTGTTGTGAATAGTCTCATTCAGGTGAAGAAGCTGCCACTGGGGATGGACGAACCGACGACACTTCTCTGGCCTCAGGTTTGAGTCCAGCGGGATGGAGATTCTCAGGAGGGCATCTTCACTGAGGATTCCAGTGTCATTATCAGATACAGTATTATTGTCCAGGATGTGGACCCAGCAACGATGACCAGGAATGAATGCAGTGAAGTTCTCCAGCAGTATATGAGGGGTAAGTAACATGAAAGAGGAAAGAATAAGAACCAGATGGAGGATCTGAAATCTCCCAAGGCCTCCAACTTGATTCAAGAGCTCCTCAAAGGCCATTGATTGTGAACATATGACCTCCAAGAGGAGGCACCACTGCTTTACAAAGATAAGTTCAAAGGAAGAAAATATTTCCTTTTATTAATTCAAATTAAGCTGTATTAATCCTTGCATCAATTTCTCATCCATGGGCCCCAACTCACTACTACAACAGAGCCCTAGTGGAAACAGCTTCCTCAGTTCTTTTGAGATCAGGAGGTTAGCAGAGATGCTTCCAGCTATTGACAATGCAATCTGTTTAAAGGTTTGCTCTCTAAATATGCTTGTCCTCATGTGATTCATGAAATTAACATTGGACTTTGGCATGTACGTGTTCTCTAAATAAATCTGTCAAACTGTGTTCAGTTATTTCAAGGAAGTGAAATTTGAGGACACAAAAGTAAACTGCTTTATAATTTTCCCAAGAAAAGAACAGAAAGCCAGAGTTTTTCTGCTATAGTAATGAATTTAGATTAAAATGGTGAATAAATTCAAATCCCTATTACAATGTTTTGCTTTTAATTAAACCCAAGCGGAATGTGATGGCATTACTATCTTATGTTAATTGACATTATGCTTCAGGTTCAATCACATGAGGAACTCACATAAATTTAAATTCTATGAAATGTAAATAGAGGAGAAAGGCAGCTCATATAGGAGTTTATTTCCTTGGGCTTCTTTATTTATTTATATGTAGCACATTGGAGGATCTTTTCCATGCTACTTTCAGGAATCCAGATGAATTGTTTATTTTATTGTTATAAACTATGCCTCTGTCTCTAGTGATGCTCATTTTGAATTATATATTTTTTAATATTAACATGACTGTTCCAGGTTTCTTATAGTTTGCATGACATAACTTTCCCACCTTTTTCTTTTTTTTTTTTTTTCAATTTGAAAGACCTTTTCAGGGTTTTCTTTGTTCCAAGCTTTCTTTAAACATTTTAAATATGGTACAATGAAGTGTTTCAGGCACAATTTCAATATGGATTATGACTTCTCTACTTGAGCACAATTCTCTGCTTCAGTATACATTACTGTTTTCAATGAGGTTTTGATTTTAACATTAGCCAATTCCATTTTTTCTCTCTTTTGCTCTTTGCCCAAATATTGTGGCTGACACCTTTACTCCCAAAATGAAACAATTAACTATTTTTCAAATAGACCTAGGGAGAAACACAGCAGTGCCATTGCCCAAGCAACAGTGCAGTGCTTGCAGGCAGTGCTTGCAACATGGTAGATAATCAGTCAATGGTTGCTAAACAAATTAATGAAAGTGTGCATGTGGCCCAGGAAAAGAAGAATTGCTATTAAGCTCATAATAAACAAAAGGGGGCATACTCTGAAACTTTTGCAGGGGAGTTTAAGCCTTTAAAATTACAAGTTTAATTCATTAACTCATTTAGCTAACAGAAAATTATCTTTTTTTATTATTGTACTTCAAGTTCTGGGGTATATGCAGGATTGTTGCATAGGTACACACACGCCATGGTTGTTTGTTGTCTTCATCCCCCCATCACCGACATCAGGCATTTCTCCCAGTGTTATCCCTCCTCAATCTCCCCATCCCCCGCTGTCCCTCCCGTAGCCTCCCACCCCCCACCCCCCAACATACCCCAGTATGTGATGTTCCCCTCCCTGTGTCCATGTGGTCTCATTGTTCAACACCCACCTATGAGTGAGAACATGCAGTGTTTGGTTTTCTGTTCTTGTGTTACTTTGCTGAGAATGATGGTTTCCAGATTCATCCATGTCCCTGCAAAAGACACAAACTCACTATTTTTTATGGCTGCATAGTATTCCATGGTGTATATGTGCCACATTTTCTTTGTTCAGTCTATCATTAATGGGCATTTGTGTTGGTTTCAGGTCTTTGCTATTGTAAACAGTGCCACAATGAACATAGGTGTGCATGTGTCTTTATAATAGAATGATTTATAATCCTTTGGATATATACCGAGTAATGGGATTGCTGGGTCAAATGGAATTTTTATTTCTAGATCCTTGAGGAATCGCCACACTGTCTTCCACAGTGGTTGAACTAATTTATACACCCACCAACAGTGTAAAAGTGTTCCTATTTCTCCACATCCTCTCCAGCATCTGTTGTCTCCAGATTTTTTTATGATCGCCATTCTAACTGGCGTGAGATGATATCTCAATGTGGTTTTGATTTGCATTTCTCTAATGACTAGTGATGAACATTTTAAAAATTATGTTTCTTGTCCTCATATATGTCTTCTTTTGAAAAGCGCTCATATCTTTCACTCACTTTTGAATGGCTTTTTTTTTTTTTTTTTTTTTTTTTTCTTGTAATCTGCTTTGGTTCTTTGTAGATTCTGGATATTCGGCCTTTGTCAGATGGGTAGAGTGCAAAAAATTTTTCCCATTCTCCTAGTTGCCAGTTCACTCTAATGATTGTTTCTTTTGCTGTGCAGAAACTCTTAATCTTAATTAGATCTCATTTGTCTATTTTGGCTTTTGTTGCCATTGCTTTTAGTGTTTTAGTCATGAAGTCCTTGCCTACGCCTATGTCCTGAATGGTATTGCCTAGGTTTTCTTCTATGGTTTTTATGGTGTTAGGTCTTATGTTTAAGTCTTTAATCCATCTGGAGTTAGTTACAATGTAAGGTGTCAGGAAGGGGTCCAGTTTCTGCTTTCTGCACATGGGTAGCCAGCTTTCCCAACACCATTTATTAAACAGGGAATCCTTTCCCCATTGCTTGTTTTTGTCAGGTTATCAGATGGTTGTAGATGTGTGGCATTGCTTCCAAGCCCTCTGTTCTGTTCCATTGATCTATATCTCTGTTTTTAATTGAAATCTTTTTTTAGATTACTATAGATTCACATGCAGTTGCTAGAAATGACACAAGGAGAAATCATATATTCATTATCCTGTTTCTCCTAACGGTAATATTTTATAAAACTGTAGTATAATAGTATCAACATCAAGATGCTAGTATGGCACAATGAGGTATAATACCAGGATCTTGATACTGATACAATCCACTGATTTTATTAATATTTCCCCAGTCAGTTTATCTGTATATGCATGTAGTACTATACAATATTATGTGTGTAATTCAGTGTGCTCATCATCACAATCAAGATAGTGAACAGTTCCATCTCCACAGATATCCCTCTTTCTAGAAGAATAATATGATACATATCCTTCTCAGGTTGGCTTTTATAAATTCAAAACTCTGTAGATATTCATCTAAGTTGCTGTGTATATTATTTTGTTTGTTACTTTTTATTGCTGAATAGTATTTTATGGAATGTATATACAATTGTTTGGCTTTTTAAAATAAATTTTATTGTGTATATTTAAGAAAAGCAACATGATGTTATAAGATATATGTATGTATATATAAAGATATATAGAGATATATAAAATGCTAACTATGGTGGAACCAATTAACATATCTATCATCTTACAAATGGGAAAAGTTACCCACTTCCCCCATAGATCAATGGAACAGAACAGAGGCCTCAGAGGCAATACCACAGATCTACAACCATCTGATTTTTGACAAACCTGACAAAAACAAGCAAGGGGGAAAGGATTCCCTGTTTAATAAATGGTGTTGAGAAAACTGGCTAGCTATGTGCAGAAAGCAGAAACTGGACCCCTTCCGGACACCTTATACTAAAATTAACTCCAGATGGATTAAAGACTTAAACATAAGACCTAACTCCATAAAAGCCTTAAAAGAAAACCTAGGCAGAACCATTCAGGACATAGGCACAGGCAAGGACTTCATGACTAAAACACCAAAAGCATTGGCAACAAAAGCCAAAATAGACAAATGGGATCTAATTAAACTCCAGAGCTTCTGCACAGCAAAAAAAAACAAAAACAAAAACAAAAACAGAACAATCATTAGTGTGAACCAGCAACCAACAGAATGCGAAAAAAATTTTGCAATCTAGGCGGAGGTTGGAGTGAAACAAATGAATTATATCCAAAATCTATAAAGAACTAAAACAGATTTACAAGGAAAAAAAACAAATAAACCCATTCAAAAGTGGGCAAAGGATATAAACAGACACTTTACAAAAGAAGACATATATGAGGCCAACAAACATTTAAAAAAATGCTCATCATCATTGGTCATTAGAGAAATGCAAATCAAAACTACATTGAGATACCATCTCATGCCAGTTAGAATGGCGATCATTAAAATATCTGGAGACAACAGATGCTGAAGAGGATGTGGAGAAATAGGAACACTTTTACATTGTTGGTGGGAGTGTAATCTAGTTCAACCATTGTGGAAGACAGTGTGGCAATTCCTCAAGGACCTAGAAATAGAAATTACATTTGACCGACCCAGTAATCCCATTACTGGGTATATAGCCAAAGGATTTTAAATCGTTCTATATAAGGACACATGCATATGAATGTTCATTGCAGCACTGTTTACAATAGCAAAGACGTGAAACCAATCCAAATGCCCATCGATGATAGACTGTACAGGGAAAATATGGCACATATACTCCATGGAATACTATGCAGCCATAAAAAATGATGAGTTCGTGTCCTTTGTAGGGACATGGATGAACCTGGAAACCATCATTCTCAGCAAACTGACACAGGAACAGAGAATCAAGCACCACATGTTCTCACTCATAGGCAGGTGTTGAGCAATGAGAACACATGGACACAGGGAGGGGAGCATCACACACTGAGGTCTGTGGGGGGTGACTAGAGGCGAGATGGTGGGGGTTGGGGTTGTGGAGATTGGGGAAGTATAACATGGGGAGAAATGCCATATATAGGTGACAGGGGATGGAGGCAGCAAACCACCTTGCCATGTAAGTACCTATTCAATAACCCTGCATGATCTGCATACTTACCACAGAAACTTAAGTTAAAAAAAAAAAAAAAAAAAAAAAAAAAAAGGAAGAAGAAGAATTTTAGGTATTTTTTTTTTAAAAAAATAGGTAAAAGTTGATTGGGCATAGTGGCTCACAACTGTAATCCCAGCACTTTGAGAGGCCAAGGCAGGAGGATCATGAGGTCAGGTGTTAGAGAACAGTCTGGCCAACATGGTGAAACTCTGTCCCTCCTAAAAATACAAAAATTAGCCAGGTGTGGTGGCGGGTGCCTGTAACCCAGCTACTTGGGAGGCTGAGGCAGGAGAAATGCCGGAACCCAGGAGGCAGAGGTTGGAGTGAACCAAGATCGTGCCTCTGTACTCCTGCCTGGGTGACAGAGCAAAGCTAATTT